TGACGTGCTCCTAGACTAGGAGCATTTTGATGATTGATTCACTTTAATAGCGTTGACTGAAATATTTTATAAAATATAAAAACGTTAATAAATATTTCGATGACACACTTAAGATGTAATATGAATCCAATTCCAGACTGAAACCCCAACCGAAGGGAATGCATCTGAATTTTAATACGTGAAAATTTGAATACCATGTAGTTGTTACCACTGCCCTGAAGACTGGAAATAATAGAACTGCTGTGTGTCTACCAGGTCAGGACACTGGTTTGAATTCTTACATCAGAGAACATTCAGAACAGAAGGAATGCTACTCCTTTGTGTTCTGAGTCCCTTTAGAAGCCAGTCAGAAAGCATAACGTTTTCAAGATGTCTATTAGCTAATGATTTTTCCAAACAAATGAAATTGATTTGGAAAGAAAATAAGAAATAGTTTGCTGCATATTGCATTCTGTCGATCTATAGCACACTTGAATGGATATGTCATTATTATACAGATTGAGTATCCCTTATCTCACGTATGTGGGGTAGAAATCTGTTGGTAGTATTACCCATGATGTATGAAGTGGGAGTAGGTAGGATGTACAGATTTGCTGTGTTATAGATGTAAAGTGTCTGAATGACTCCCAGGTGTGGAAGTCCTTTATGCTCAGATGCATATGTGGACGGGAGCTCCCAAGGGAGACTGGTATTGGATGTAGATTTGAGGGGCCTTGGCATGTATTTGGCAATGGAAGCCAGTTATATCTGTGTGTGTGTGTGTGTGTGTGTGTGTGTGTGTATTTTGTTTTGCTAGAGGGCATGTGTGCAGTCAGTCAGGTGGGATCCAGCCACTTAACCACCACCCCACCAGCTGACTGCCAATTATATTTGAAGGGGATGGGACCATAAACAGGCACAGAGTAGAGCGGGAAGTGAACAGGGCCGAAGACAGAAGTCTGCAGTAACTAGTGGACTCTCAAAGGGAATTTTTACACCATGGGACCAGTAGTTAGCATCATGTTTATGTCGCTGGACTCCCATGTAGCCGACTGCAGTTCGAGTCCTGGACCCGGTGGCTTAAATTCACGCCGGTCGCATGTGTGTGTGTGCCTATGATTCCGAGAGGAGAATGGAGGAGAAGGGATTGTGGTATGGCCATCTCCCCATGGGGGGGTGATTTCTCGCTTTCTGTTTCTCTGTCTCTCTCTCTCTCTCTTTCTGGCAAGTTCATGCACCCTATAGCAAAAACCTCTCAAAACAAAAGGGGGAGGGGGAATTTTTTACACCAAAATAAAACCAAAATCAAGTCAGAATGTTCACAGCTGAGAGGACCAGAAGGGGGACTGTAGAAACTGAGGAAAGACATGACTTTGGGTGCAGCTAACAGTGTCAGATGCTGTAGTGTTTAAGTAAGATAAACTTTGAAAAGTGGCTCTGGGTTGGGTGAATAGGGGCCATCAGTGACATTACTGACAGTAGCTCCAGTGGACTGGTAGGGCAGAACCTTCTGTGAGTCCTTGTGCCTTTTTGAGAAGGAAAGCTAAGGCCATGAAGGAGGGGGTATGGTGGATGTCAAGAGAGCATGCTTTTTGTTTCAGGAGGAGAAACTTGAGCATGGCTGTGTGTGGAAGTGGGTGAGCCATGGGACAGGGCCTGGGTGAGAAGAAAACTTCTTGCACTGACATAGGATGAAGCAAGAAAGATGGATGCCAACACAATTAAGGTTGCATGTGTGCTAGGAAGAGGCAGGATGGGGAGTGGGAAGACTTACATGGTCATAAGTACCTCTGCATGAAGAAGGATAAGTTATTTAAAGTGAAAACTAGGCCATGGGATTTTGTGGTGAAGAGACTAGATTTATTATATAGAAATGTGGATGATTTATAAGTCTTTAAACCCCAGCGGAGGAAAGTTATTATTTAATAATAGCATAGATATTCACTTTTATTTAAAGAAACTTGATAGAAGACAAATTGGAAGCGCTATGTAGTGTTTTTTTCATCTGTCAGAAGGTTTGCTCAAATTATATTCCTGTCATTGGTACTTTATACCTTCAGGACAACAGAAGTGTTACAACATGAATTTTTAGAGCCAATTTTGACCACAGCGAAGTGGCTATGAAGGCTGAAGGTCAAGAGCATGATTGATTGGGTGATTAGAATTCCGTTTAAAACAAATTAGAGGTGGCAGGTTTGCCACAGGTGAGAAGCACTGCAAGGAAATGAATCTCATTAGCATATAAAACGTCTTCGGTCATCAAAAAAGAAGTTTAATGTTTAAAATATAAAGACACACGCACACGCACACACTCACGAAGGATTGACCTACCAAGAATTTTTGTTTATGACTTCTTTTTTTAGAGAGATTTTTGCTATAGGGCTCTTGTGCTCACCAGAGAGACAGAGAGACAGAAAGCGAGAACTAACCCCCCAGGAGGGATGGCCACACCGCAATCCCTTCTCTTCCATTCTCCTCTCAGGATTTTGGGCATGTGCGCACATACGCCTGGCTTGAATTTTAGGCCGCCTGGTCCAGGACTCTAACCGCGGTCAACTATATGGGAGTCCAGTGATGTAACCATTATGCCATCTGGTGGCCCCTGTTTATGACTATTATACAACCTAATGTCTAGTCTGATTTTTCTGTGTATTATAAATAATTTATAGATTCTTGATTGTATATTTTTATATTTTAAAATCAGGGACTGGTCTCCTAAACTAAATACATTGATCAGTTCTATTTAGCCAGTTATTACATTAGGTTGTGCGTTTTTCCATAGAAAAATACATCATGACTTTCACGATGACCCGGTATTTGTCTTTATTTTAGGGCCTTCTAGGTGGCTGGACTTGTGGTTAGGCATGTGAGTTTGGGATCCTTGGCTTAGGAGGCAGAGAAGGCAGGAAGGCCAGGAGGAGTGTTTAGGACAGGATCTGGCACGTGAGGTGGTAAGAGTGGAGAAGCATGTGTGTGGGGTATGAGTGGCCGTTGGTCTTGGCATGTGCAGCAAGGCAATGGGCCATGGAGAAGCTATTTCTCAGGAACATAATGCATGCCCCACCAAGCTGTGTGCTTTCAAATAGACTTGTCAAAATGATATTGGAAGTTTTGTAGTGTCAATGAAGGAATGAAAGGAATTGAGACTGTATCTAAAAAAAACCGGAAGGGACCAACAAACGGTGTAGTGGTTAAGGTGCTGGACTCCCAAAGTTCCAGACATGGCGGCTTGAAACTCATGCTGTACACACATGCGTGAGAGTGTGGCTAAAATCCCAGGAGGAGACCAGAGGAGAAAGTATTGTAGCATGGCCAGCCCCACTGGGGGGTGATCTTTCTGTGTCTCTCTGGAGAGCACACTCACTGTATAGCAAACAAAAACAAAAACAAAGCAAAACCAAAAAAGTAAAAGAGCTGAAAGTAAAGAAAAATAGTGCTGATTATAGTGACTTTTGTTAGTAATGAAAAATTGCTTCAATGTAGTTACTATGTCCTTCTAATTTTTGGTTGTTGAAAATTCAGAGTGTTAGGTGTTTGAGTTGGAAGGGTTCAGTTGGTTGTGAAGCTGCTTACATGGGGGCTGGTTGTACTCTGTTGTGGTGTATGATTGGGAAAGTTATAATACAATGTTTCCAAAAGCATTAAGCAGAGAACCGGGAAGTAGTGTTGGTTGTGATAAAAAGTTATAGAATATGAATAACGGGGGGACTTTCTTCTCTCCTCCCTGTTTATCAGATCTATATGATAACCTCCACCTGTGAACCTATCTGTTTTTTTTCTTTGAGAGGTTTTTGCTATAGGGCATGTGCGCTCGCCAAAAAGACAGAGAGAGACAGAGAGACAGAAAGCGAGAAATCACCCCCCCGGGGGGATGACCCCACAGCAATCCCTCCTTCTCCATTCTCCTCTCAGGATCTTGGGCACACACGCCTGGCATGCGTTTAAGCCACTGGGTCTGGGACTTGAACCACAGTCTACTACATGGGAGTCCAGGGACATAGCCATTACACCAACTGCTGGTCCCCTGTGAGCCTATCTTTGAGTTGAAATTATTAAGAAATCATTTAGGAAATGACAGTGAAACCAGTTGTTTTCTGTGTGATCATAGCATTGTGTAATGGGTAATTGGTTTAGACATCAGGCGGCTTCTTTTCCTTCCTCCAATTGCAGTGGAAATTTTGTCACAATGAAGGAACATTTATGGTAGAGGCCCAGGGCTGAAAATGCCCCATTGCAGAAGGTATTCAGCCCAGGGGGAGGACCAGAGTCAGCGAACATCTTCTCATGTAACACGCTATAGCAGGTGCTGTCGGGAACCACAAATGCAGGGAAATGAAGTAAACTGCTGACACCTGTGGAGACCTGAGTCCGTGCCAAGCTCACTCTAAACCCTTCACATATGCTTAATGCTTACCACAGCTCTAGGAGGAAGGTATTCGTTTTTCTTATCCTTTCATTTTTATTTTGTGCTTAGATGTGTAAGACAAATGGTCATTTTAACCATTTTGCTGCATATGGCTCACTGGCATTTATTATACTCACATTGTTTTGCAATTATTGCCACCATCCAGATGCAGAACTTTCTCATCTTCCCAAACTGAAACCTGTACCACTAAGGACTAACTGCCTGTTCCCCGCTCCCACAGCCCCTGACCACTACCATTCTACATTTTGTTTCTGTGATTTTAAGTACTATTCTTTGTTCCTCATGTGAATGGACTGAGTCGGACGGTATTTGTCCTTGTGTGACCGCATTATTTCATTTGGCATAATATCCTCAGGATTCATCTGTGTCGTAGCGTATATCAGAGTATCTCTGCTTTTGAAGGCTGAATAATATTCCATGGTATGTATACACAGTTCATCCACTGATGGGCGCTTGGGTTGCTTCCGCCTCTTGGCAGTTGTGAATATCGCTGCTATGAAGAGGGTTACGCCAATATCTGTTCGTTAGGGTGTATACCCAGAAGTGGGATTACCAGATTGTAAGGTAATTTTATGTTTATTATTTTTTTTTTTAGGAACTTTCATACTGTTTTACTCAGTGGCTGTACCATTTCACATTCTCAACAGAAGGGCCCCAGGTTCAAGTTTCTCCACATAGGAGGTAGGTACCATTCGCCTGTGGGTGTTAGAGAGGAGGGAGAGAGGCTCAGAGAGTGAGCCCACATAGCCAACATGCAGATCTGAATTCAAACTCACCAGGCTGACTCTAGAGCCTTAATTCCTGTACCATACAGGTGAGATGAGGTATAGAGAAGTTGAGGGACATAATTAAGAGTTCCTGCCTAACAATGGCAGGGCCTGGATTTAGAGCCTGCCTTCAGGGTTCGTGCTGTGAAGCATCCTTAGAATTAGCTTTTTTGTTTCTTAATAAAAATGGTCTTTAAAAAATACTCATTGTTGAATATTTCTACATGGCATTTCCTTGCCTTTCCAAATTTATGTTTTAAAAGGTTTGTGTTATTTAAAATATTATCTTTTTCCCCCCTTTCTTTAGAGAGATTTTTGCCATAGGGTGTGTGAGCTCCCCTGAGAGACAGACAGAGAAAGTGAGAAATCACGCCCCCAGGGAGGATAGCCATGCCATAATTCCTTTTCCTCTTGTCTCCTCTAGAATCCTTTCTCCTCCAAAATTCCTCTCGGGGTTTTGGGCATGTATGTACACATGTAAGTTTGTTTCAAGCCTCTGGGTTTGGGACCTGAACCATGGTCAGCCATGTGAGAATCCAGTGCCTTAATCACTAAGCCAGTTGCTGGTTCTAAAATATTATCTTAAAAAGGCCTGAAATAGCAGGTGGTATGGTGGTTAAGATGCTGAATCCCTCATGGCCAACTTTGCAGTTTGAATCCTGGACCCAAGAGCTTGACAAACACAGCAGGTGTGTGCGTGTATGTGTGTGTGTGCGTGCGCGCGCGCCCCGAGTCCCGAGGGAAGAATGTAGGAGAAGGGACTGTAGCATGGTCATTCCCCTTGGGGAATGATTTCTCACTTTCCCCCTTTCTGTCTTCAATAAGTGCACACACCCTATGGCAAGATAAAAAAACCTTTAAAAAATAATGTGTGCAATATGTTTGGTTTTCTCTTTAACTTCCTTGGGTAAAATTTTGTCTTTAAAATTTTTGAATAAATGTGCATTGGTTACAGTTGAATTTTTTTTGCACTCTTCCCTGTCAGATGTTTGCTTTCAAATAAAACAAAGCGAGAAAGTATCTAAAGCTATTTAAATGGAAGCCTGAGGGTATTGACGGTAAACACTGAGGACTTTTTTTATTCAGATAAAGTGAATTTTCAGCTTTATCAACAGAGGAGAAACAGCAAGGAAATGTATCTATTTCTCTGTGTATATATTGCTAAGAGGATGTTCATTTTCCTTCAGAGTCTTAAAGGGTCTCTCCTGGACCCTGCTTTATTGAAGGTTGCATTTTAAGCAGGGGAGCCGGGATGCACACGATTGTCAGCCCCTCTCCTAAGACTGGGGTGGGTGACTTGCAGTAGTCTCTCGTCATAGCTGGGTGTAAGTTTTAGACAGAGACTTCTTGTCTCAACATATCAAGGACCTAGGGCCAGTAGGTGGCATGATGGTTATGGCGCTGGACTCCGGTATGGCTGCAATTTGAATCCTAGACCTGGTGGCTTGAAAATCATACCAGTCATGTGTGTGTGCGTGTGCCCAAAATTCTGGGAGGAGAATGAAAGAGAAGGGATTATGGCGTGGCCAACCCTGGGTGGTGATTTGTCACTTTCCCTCTCACTCTCTCTGTCTTTCTTTGGCAAGTGCACATGCTCTGTAGGCAAAAACCTACAACCAAGGACCCACATTCATGTTAGGTGAATTCTTCTATCTGGAAAATTACTTTCAGAATAATCTATAATTCAGTGGTTCCCAACCATGTCCGTGCATTGCAGTCCATCCGGGAACTTGACAAAATAACGAGGTCTGCATCCCATCTCTAGGGGTTTTGTTACAGGTGGTCTGATGTGTGACTTAGCCACTGGAATTTTTAGGGCCACCGATATGATTCTTTTTTTGTTTTTGTTTCTGGAGAGGTTTTTGCTATAGGGTGCGTGTACTCGCCAGACAGACAAGAGAGAGAGACAGAAGGTAAGAAAGCACCCCCCAGCAGGGTTGGCCACACTGCAATCCCTTCTCCTCCAATCTCCTCTTGGGATCTTGGGAATGTACACACACACACGCCCAGTGTGAGTTTAAGCCACCAGGTCTGGGACTTGAACGGTGGTCAACTACATGGGAGTCCAACGACATAGCCATTATGCCAACTGCTGGTTCCAACAGCAATATGACTCTAACATATGGTCGAGGCATGGGACTGTCATTGCTCTACTTTGTCTCTCTTTCTCTTTTTTAAAAGTTTCCTTCCTTCTTTCCTATGAGAGAGACAGACAGACAGAGACAGATAGACAGGTACCTTGATTAGAGTCTCCATACTGTGATCCATTCCCAGTCTCAGGTGGCCCAGGCTGTGGGTGCCTGTTTGCCTCCAGTGTGCTCAGGAGGTCCTGAGATGCAGCACCAGAACCCTTCCCAGGTGACAGGATTGTGTCACCACCTGGCTTCTCTTAATTTCTCCCTTTGGTAAAGTTCATTCATCTATTCCATGAGTGAGACAAGAGACAGAGATATGGACCCCCTGACAGGGTCCCAACTCCACCATCTATCCCTAACCCCAGCCAACCTGGATTATGGGCACGTCCATGCTCGGCATATCCAGGGAGACCCCAGGTCATGAACTGACAGCCTTCCCGTGTGTGTCTTATGGACCATTCATTGTGTTTTACCCCTTTGCCATCATCCAGGCCCCGTAATTTCTCCTTAAGACCTACATTTTGGGCCCTAATTAAGATTTTTACCACAAAAGATAACAAAAATATCTCTCCTCAGGATACCAAGGAGCTGATATCGTTGGGACGTATTCCTCACATATGCGGGAATCTTTCTTATTTTGTTTCTTTTGGTGAAAAAGTTTTTTGTGTGTTTATGGAGTGTATCTTTATATTCTATGACTTGTGACTGGTTGCTGAGGAAGATAGATCTCGTTTACTTCGCATAGCTTTGCTTAGAAAGAGAGAGGAAGGCCCAGCAAATGGAATGGAGGTTAAAATGTTGGATCCCACATGGCCGAATGTGCGGTTCAAGTCTCACACCCAGTAGCTTGAAAATCATGCCAAGCGCGTGTGTGTGCGTGCCCCAAATCCTAAAGAGATTGGAAGAGAAGAAATTGCAGTATGACTATTCTCTGTGGAGATTTCCCACTTCTCTCTCTTTCTCTGTGTTGAGCATGCACAACCCATAGCAAAACTAAAATAAGGGGTAAAAAAACAAAGAAAAGAAAGGAAATCTAGAAAGGGCCAACTATTTACTGGCTTAGTTATCAGTGTAAGCTTCAGGTGACTTTCTGGGTTTGGGTGGCAGTCTCTTTTTATAAACTGAAGGCGATGATGGTGTGTATGCTGATCTTTCCGGTAGGTTCTGGAAGCTTCTCATTCAGATCCTTTCCTCCTCTGGGCGAGCATAGTTTTAGTGGTTTTCCTCTGTCGTTATGTTTAGGGTGCAGCTTTGGGTTAACCACATACTCAGTCTGAGAGTCTTTGGTTTGGAATTCTTTGTCTGGGCCCTGCCTGGGTCTTTAGAATTTGTTTAAAAAGACAGAGACAGACATATTCCCTGTGTTAATGGCAGTGCTTGTGTTGAACTGTGTGAGAGATGATTTGGTTGAAGGTTATTCAACCTTTAACTTTGAAAACTGAACGTTCTTCTAAGTTTGAAGATGAAAGTTGAGTTTTGGGGGAAACAAGTGTTCTTGCTTTGATTTTGTTTTATAAATGAGTGGTAGCATGTAAAATTTTTAAAAATTGTCCTTGTTTTGTTTTGGGTTTATCCCTTAGTGCTCTGTCAGTAGTTGGAGCAGAAACAATATATGATCCATGGTGGCTTTCTTGTTTTGTGTCTCCTATAAGGACAGAGAATGAACACATTATTTCAGTAAGTGGGAGAAGACTTACTTACTCCCTCTGAAGCCTTTTTAGATACAGGCAGAGCAGAGGTGCATCTGCACACACACGCATATTCGGTCACGCATACGTACATATGATATACATCGGCGCTGAGTCAGAGTGACATAATAGAAACTCGCTCTTGCCTTGACTGAAATGACTTGGAAGGGACATCTGTTGCTGATCCTCCCTGGTTTATTCAAAGAAAAGCATATTTAGAATGTGATATATGGCATTCGCATTTAGGTAATTTCGCAATAGTTTTGAGGCTGGGAGGATAACTCTCTTCTCCCCTCAGTTAATTACTGAGGTGACAAGCACTTGTGGAGTTAGGGGCCCTGTTTGGTGAGAGAGATAGTTTGCTTGGGTATCCAGCACAGGCATGGGTCATTTCTTTCTTTCTTTCTTTTTTTTTTTTTTTTTTTTGGAGAGGTTTTTGCTATAGGGTGCGTGTGCTCGCCAGACAGACAAAAGACAGAGAGACAGAAAGTGAGAAATCACCCCCCACACCCCCCCGGGGGGGATGGCCTTGCTGCAGTCCTTTCTCCATTCTCCTCTCGGGATCTTGGGCATGCACGCACTGTTTTAAGCCACTGGGTCCAGGACATGAACCACAGTCGACTACATGGGAGTCCAGCGACATAGCCATTATGCTAACTGCTGGTCCCATGCACGGGTCATTTCTGAGAAAATGGAAGCTACACTCCCTAGGGTGGACTAAGAGGCTCCTGGGTCATTTGCTGTGATTCTCTCGTCTCTTCTCTTTCCTCTTTGTCCCTCTTTTCTTAATTTTTTTCTGTTTGTTGACTCCAGGGACCGATTACTTACATATGTCTCAATAGACCAATGGTTATAGAAAGGGGGAAACTTTCTGATGCTTTAACTTAGTATTTAACATCATGGGGATTTGAAATAAAAATGGCAGCAAAGTAACAACACATTCTCTTCTAAAAATGCAGCCCATCGGGGCCATCCTATGTAGCAGTGGTTAAAGGAACTGGATCCCAAATAGCCAACTACAGTTTGATTCTGAGCACCAATGAGTCCTGGCTCTACTGGCTTAAAAAACACACCATGGGACCAGCAGGTGG